CGAGGCTTCCAGAAGGCGCAGCAGGAAGCCCAGGTCCCCGGCGTCCGTCTCCGCCAGGCACTGCAGGTCCCTGGCGGCGGCGGGAACGTCTCCCTTCTTGAGGCTGAGCAAGCCCCGCCGGGCCCGGGCCGCCTCTGACGGCGGCGTGGGGCGCAGGGCCTCCTGCAGGCGGGCGCCGGCCTCCTCGTAGCTGCCTGTCAGGATTCGGGAAGGACACTCAGGGGCGGCCGGGGCAGGGGACAGAGAGAACGGACTCTGGCTGCGCTCCGGGAAGCCCGCACTTTCTTGTTTCTTGTTCTGCGTTTCTTGTTCTGCGTTGTTGGCTGGGGGAGCAGCCCCAGGAGGGAGAGCCAGGAGCAGAGGGACATGGTGACACCGTGCTGGTCACATGGACTGGCCTGCTACCAGTACCCCCACCTGGGGGGCGGGGTCACTAGACTCCATGACGCCTGGGCTGACCGACCGGCAGGGCTCTGAGCCCCTTTGAAGTGAGTGCTGAAACATGTTCGGGATTTGGCAGGAAAGGCTGACGTTTCGGTACACGTGGACCTAAGGCGATCCTGCCTGGAAATGGGTCTCGGGGCCACTCGGTCAACTTGTTTTATAAACAAATGCGCGAGTTACCGAAGACGCCCCGTCCTTGTCTGGAGCCTCTCATCACCCCTTCCCTTCTCCTCCCTGCAGGCAAAGCCACATAGGTGACAGAGCTAGACGCACGGCCACGCCAGGCCTATGCGGCGACCAGGTCCCAGGAGCTGGGAGTCGGGGCGGGGGGAGGGGCCCTGGAAGATGCCGAATCCGGGGCGTCCGCCTCCCATTTTACAGACGGGACTGGGGAGGGTGAGAGGAGCTGGCCGCACACCACGTTCCCCATGCCGGGCCCACGTGTACCTGCGGCAGTGAGCACGTCTGCCAGGAGGATGTGCCAGCTCGGCTGCCCGCCATCGATCTGGATCAGGGCCTCCCCCGCGGCCAGGAGGCCCTGGATGGCTCCGTCGCTGAGGGGAGCCCCGGTGTCCGGCAGCTGGCTCAGCAGGGCCCGGCAGCGGAGGGACAGGCCCTGCGTGATGAGGGCCTGGGCCTGTGGCTTCAGGGAGCAGATCTCAGGGATGGCCGTCTGCGGGTCATGCTTCAGAGCCGAGAGGATGTCATCCACGGCCTCCTGCAAGGGGACAGGGCGGGGTGGGTGGCCGAAGTCCCAGCGGGGGATTCGGTAAGTGTCCTCCCAGTGTTTTGGAGTTGGGGACACCGGGATGGGTCGACCGTCCAGTCCCTGCCTCCTGCAACGGCCTGCTGAGCGATGCAAGGCAGAGTGTGGGACACTGGCACGCGAGTCAGAGCTCGGGAGAGGCAGCGCTCGTCAGGCACCAAAGAAGGTTCTGGTACGAACCCACTATGGCACAGAGGGCGGGCCGGAGCTGGCACCCGCAGCTGCGAGCTTGTGGGTAGGAGAGTGGGGGGTGGAGCGTGCACCCCGGGGGACGGGAGGCGGGGAGGCGTCCTCAGGCCCTGACGGCCGCGGAAGCACAGGGGGCCAGGGCGGAGGCCCCCAGTCATTGGCGTGACCTCTGACCCGGCCGGCAGTGGCGAGTCTTGGAGCCTTCGGGGTGTCTAGCGGCCTTTTCTTTTTTGCTGCCTTTGTCCTTCCTTTTCTACCTTCTTTTGAGTTCATCGAATATCTTAGGAGTTTATTTTAATTCCTCCTTTTAACTCTGCCTCTTTTTAATACTTTTTAGCAGCTGCCCCACAGGTTACAACAGGTGCCTAACTTACCGCAGTCTGCGAAGAGTCAGTGAGGTACCACCTCCCGGAGCCGGTCAGAGACATTCCGGAAGGAGGGAACTTATTCTTTCGTATTCAAATATGCTCCTCGTTCCTCCCGCAGAGCATTCCCAGCTGGCAAGGATCCCCTCCCTTCCGCTGCTGTGAAACGTCTAACTTCGCTCGTTTCCGCAGGTCCTTGAACCGGATGGAGGATCTCGCGTGGTACTTCGTTTCCTGCGGCGCCTTCGGGGAGCCGTCCCGCCGCCTCCTGGTCGTCTGGCTGCCGCGGCTTCTGCGCCGGTCCGTGGTGCTCATGCGGCTCTCCGCTGTGCGCCACGTTTCTTTCCCCCACGGGCTGCTTTTAAAATGTTCTCTTCACCGCTAGTTTTCGGGCGTTTGACCGAGCCGCGCTGCTGTGCTTCTCCCGGTGGTCACCGCGTGTCAGGGTGTGTGTACGAAGATGATGGCAGAGACCCCCACCCACCCCACGGCCGAAGAGACCCGCACCTAGGCGCGTCCGGGTCATCTACATGCATCTCCCGCTTTCTCCGCTGGGACTCCGACTACGCGCATCCGCGTCCACGGGGAACTGTCCCAAGCTCTCGTTTGAAAAATAATCCCTCCCCGTCTCTGTTCTTCACGGCGGATGCCTTTCATTTGTGTACGTTTAATTTCACCGACCCTTCGGCGGTGTCCAATCGGCTGTTAAGCCCATCGGTACGTATTTAACTTTAGCTATTATACTTTTTGGTTCCAGAATGTCCATTTGATTCTTCTTTACAGCGTTTTGTCTCTCTGCCGATCCCCCACCTGTTCGCTCATAAGTTTCTCCTTAAATCCTTCTCGTGGTTATAATTGCTGCTCTAACGCATTGTTCGCTAATTCCAATTTCTGAGCCATCTCTAGGTCTGTTTCTATTGCGTACTTACTTTCCTGGTTATCGGTCACGCGTTCCTGGTTCTCTGTGTGTCTAGCAGTTTGACTTTGTGCTGGACTTTGTGGGTGGTGTGTCCGAGCGAGGCTGGATTACACTGCTGTCCTGTAGAGGGCGTTGTTTCGACCCGGTGGGCAGTTAAACCGCTGGTCGGTCCTTTCGGTTCTGACGGACTTGGTTTCACTCATTAGGGCAGGTCCGTTTCAGCTTTGAACTTACTCCCGGGGACGACCTTTAGTTTAGGGTGCGGCCTTTACTTTAATTCAGGGTGTAGTTTCGACTGACTGTCCAAGGCGTTCACAAAGGTCTCTGCTCTGGCCGAGTCAGAACTCCAGTGTCTCCCGGCCCTGCCCGGCCCTGGGGTCACCCCTCGGCTCTCAGCCCCACCGCAGGCGAGCTCGGCCGTCCCCTGAGCCCTGCCCTGCACGTGTCCCGCTCAGGCCGGGAGCCCCTGGAAATTCCGTGGAGACGTCTTCCCTCTGCAAAGCCCCCTCTTCTCCTTGGCCCTTCCCTGCAAATCCCTGCAGCAGCCTGGAGCTCCAGTCTCTGCCCCCTCAGCTCAGCAAACCCACGGCCCCCCGCCCCTTGTACAGCGACAGCAAAGGCCCCCAGGCAGAAAGCCGGGTGACTGGGGGGCCCGCTCCCCGCGGTTCCCCTTCCCTTGGAGATCACAGCTCTCCACTGCCCGTTGTCCGCTGCCTGAAGACAGTCGTCATGTATTTTATCTATTTTGTTTTCAGAAGCCCAGGACCGGTCACTCTCTCCCAGCCAGAACTGGAAGTTTGCGCAGACGCGTTAAAGCCCAGGGCGGTTCTGGAGCAGGTGTGGGCATGGGGGCAGGTCTTGGAGAGACGGAGGCCGAGGGTGGGTGAAGGACGGCCCTCTCGACCCTTCCTACACTGTGGCCTGGGGCCTGCCTGTCCTAGTGCTGGCCAGTGGCAGCCCCTGACCGGCCGGTTACCTTTGCAGAGAAGACGCCCAGCTCCGCAGCCCCCTGGAACCCCAGCTGCCATGCACGGAGCCCTCATTACAGACCAGGTGCCAGGCTGAGTGTCCAGCGACAGTGAACGAGCACCCCCTCCCCCATCGAGGCTCCGAGATGTCCCAGAACTTGATCACAGAGTTAGGAGGAGGGGAGCAGGGTTCTGGACCCCCCAGACTGGCTCAGAGCTCCTTGCACCATGCCCCCTCTCCTGAGAACAGGGCGGAGGGCACGTGGGGGGCTGGGCCCCGGCCCGTCTTCAGGGAAGGAGGTTCATGGCTTTGAAGGGGTTGGGGCCTCCCTCCCACATCCTAACCCTTGGACATGCAGGCTGGCCTTCCCCGCCACACGACCTCTGGCCCAGCACGGGCGGGGGGGACTGAGGCACCTCTTGGAGGAGGTGCTGGCATGTCGCGAGCACCAGGCCGGTTTCTAAGGACCCGCCTTCAGCAGGGGTGCTCCCGGTCGAGCCCCGTCTCTGTCTAATGGGCCCGTCCCTGTGAACCACGATGCCGCGGTGGGGGCACGGGGGCCGCACGCAGAGGGCTGGGCTCCAACCGCAAGCAGCCAGGCTGGAACAGACCCCGGCTGCCCGTGCCCGTGGGGGAACAGACTTCCCGAGACTTCCCCACGGGCGGCAGCAAGTGCCTCTCAAGAAGCTCTCGAGTCGGCGGCAGCTGGGACTGTTCTCCTTGCTTCCTAGGATTCCAGTCCTCAAGCAAATGAAGAAACCTGGCAGGCAGTTACCTCTGAGCGGCTCTCCACAGTGACGCGTCGGGCAGACGGCCAGTCTCAATCACTCGTCAGCGACACTGCTCGTGGCCGAGAAGGGCCCTTGTCCAGGAGGGCCATTCGGCTGTGGCCGCCACCCTGGGCCCCGCCCCCGCACACTGACCATCGGCTCCGCAGGCCCTCTGTAGACGCTCAGGGTGGCACCGAGACGGCAGCCCAGGTCTCATTATGTTGAGCTGCACCCCCATCCAATAGCCCCGAGGGTTTGCACGTCCGTCTGGAGCATGTGAGAAAGGACGAGCCTCCTGGGAGCCCCAGGGCAGGTGGGTGCGACTGACGTCCAGCCGGGATGGCCTGACCCCGCTCCCTCCCGCCTTGCGGGTTGAGAAGGCGGCGCCCCCCAAAGCACGCCCCCTCCCGCTCGCGGGGTCCCGAGGAGGGCGCGGTACCTTCTGCCGGTCCAGGGCCAGGTGCAGGAGTGCGCGCCCGCACAGCGCCCGCACGTTCCCCGGCTCCGCCCGCAGCACCGAGTCGAGGTCGAACATGGCGGTCCGGCTCCGGCCCAGGAGGCCGTAGCAACGGGCGCGGGTGAGCAGGGACTCGCCGGCCTGACCGCCTGCGGCAAGGGGCGTGTGGCGTCAGGGCCGTCCGCCGCCCACGGTGGGCGCGGGCAGGGGCGGTGCGTGTCTTCACCGGGCATTTCTTGTGCTTCTCCTGGTGGCCGACGGTGGGGGCCACCTCGGGGAGCTCCCAGACCACTGGGCGCCAAGACACGCAGGGAGCAGTCCGGCTGACCCAGACCAGGAGGGGTGTCATCTGGGACGGCTGGCAGATAGAGGGGCTCCTGAGGGGAGGGGGCACTGCAGCTGCATCAGGGGTAGGGGGCCAGGAGGAGGAAGGGTCCACAGGGCTGGGCCTGGACTGGCCGCGGCACGAAGGTGCCAGGAGGACAGGGAGGGGCCCTCCCCAAAGGCACGTGACACAAGGGACACAGAACAACGCTCTGCCCTCTGCAAGACGCTCGGGTCCTGTCCCCTTCTGGGCCGACACGTGCGGGGTGCGGACTCTGCACGGGGTTGGCCTGCTGTCCGGAGAACGAGCTCACCCCTCACCCCCACTCCCACCCCGTGCGGCGGCTCGTCACGCACTCGGAGAAGAGAGGGAGAAGGTGCCAGGAAGTGCAGAGCCGGGGAGCCCAGCAGCATTCGGACCAGGCCCACACTTTGAACCCCATGCACCCCAGGAACTTGCCGTGCATACTTGGGATTGTCCCTTCCCCAGCCACTTGGCGGTGCTCTCCCAGGCCTCTGCCTGGCACCGGAGGCCAGGCGCACACGTGCAGAGATGCCCTAACTATCACCAGGAAGGGCTTAGGGGAGCGGGGCCCTCACCTCCCAGGTGGGAGGGAGAGGGGCTGAGCTGGGACAAGGGCCCAGGGTGTGAGGAGGGCCCAGCTGCTCTCCCAGGCTTTAGCAGGCTGACCTGACCGTCAGGGCCTGGGCCACACGCCCTCAGTGAGCAGTCCCCGCCCTGTCCGCTCCACGGATACTCCGGGTGCGCGCGCACCGGAGAACCCTCCGACCAAGAGCACGCTTCGGACCCCGTGGACCTCCACCCGCAGCACGGCGGGTGCTCCCCATGTCCCTGGCACAAGATGGGGGCCCTGGGTGAGCAGGAGGCTCCTACCTGCAGCAAAGATAGCCAGAGAGAGGTAGGCGATGGCCTCCCTCGTGTGGGCCTCGCCCTCGGCCCCGTCCGGCCGCGCCCTCAGGATGGCCAGGGCCCGCGCATGGCAGTGGCCCCGCAGCAGCTGGCGGTCCTCGTGGCGGAAGACATTCAAGGTGGGCTGGAGACAGGCCGTGTCCCCGGACTGGACCACCTTCTTCACCAGCTGCAGAGACAAGAAAGTCACCGCACTTCCTCTTTGCTCCCCAAGTCCGGTCCATTCCACCCCACGGTTCCAGCAGGGGCTCGGCTCACAGGGGCGTGGCTCACAGTGGGGGTGTACACTCATGGGGCGTGGTTTTGGGGGGCGTGGCTCTTGGGGGGCGTGGCTCACAGGGGGCAGGGCCCGCGTGTCCCCAGCCTGGGGCACAGTGAAGACGGGGTCGGGAGGTATGAACAGCCTCTCTAGGCTGCTGTTTTCCGCTGCGTGCTGGGGAGTTGGAGTCCCTGTCCCTGAGCTGTGCCTCCTCCTCTGTGACACGGAGGTGGAGATCTCGCTTCATGGGTCCACTGATGGAGGTCCAAATGAGAAGCATGAGCAAAGGCGGCTTTCAAATCATAAAGTGACAGAGGGCCCCAGGAGTCCTTCAGAAGACATGGAGCTAAAGCCCCGAGACCAGTGCCTGCCCTGCATGGAGCCAGACCCTGGATGGACATGACCTTGGTGCTCAGAGTGGCTCCACCCCAAAGAGACTGGACACTGCCCCTGCGGGCTGCTGGCCATTGGCTACAGACACGGATCCCAAAACATCCTTCCCTCCCGCCTGTATAGCCCAGTGCAAGGAGACCAGACACCCAAACCAGGCCTGAGGGGACGGAGGACGCTGACAGGTGGCCACACAGCCCTGCCCCAAAGGCCGGCATCTTCCCCGGAACATAACCTTCGACTCTGTTCCAACGGGAAGCCTCCTGACGCCGGTGGGGTGAAGTTCCGCCTTTGCTGGAGCAGAGCGGGCCGGGCCGGAGCGGAAGCGAGCGAGGCCGGGGCAGGGTCAGGCCCAAGTCGGACTTGTACGGGCGATTGGAAAGCGGCTACGCCTCCGCTGGCTCCTGGCCCTTTCTCTTCATAATGCAATGGAAGGAAATATGGGGCGCCCGCTGCATGCTGGAGGCAGCTGGGCCCCGGGGCACCTGCCTCAGCCAGTTTCCACAAGGGACAAGGACACCGAGGAGCCTGAGACACCTGCCAGGGGTGGCAGAGCTGGGGCTGGGACAAGCTTCGCCTGCTCCGGAGTCCCAGTTGCGGGGTGCAGAGCGAGGGGCCATGAGGCCTGATGCCCCCCGCAGCCCGAGGCCCATTTTTGCCCGCCCTGCCGCGGCCTGCTGACCTCACCTGGTCGGCGTCGTAGAAGAAGCCCCTCCGAAGCTGCAACAGGGCCAGTCGCACCAGCACCGGGGCTGCCTGGGGCCTCCGCGAGAGGGCCACCAGCAGCGCCTTGTGGGCGTCGTCCAGGCGGCCCAGGCGGTACAGGGCATCGGCCGCCAGCAGGCGAGAAGCCTCATCTTCCGCGTCCAGCTCCATCAGGAGTGTGGCCAGCTGGTACACGCCCTGGGCGTCCCTGCAGAGGAGCAGCTGGGCAGCGCTGGCCCCTTCCCTGTCCCTTCCACCTGCCCAGGTTGGCCGGCCACAGGCACGTCCCATCCCGCACGCCTGGCCCAGGCGGCTCCCCTCCCACTGGACTGCAGAGACCCCTGTGCTGCTGGGAGGACCCTCGCCTGCGCCATCCCCGGGCCCCTCTGCCCACACCCCCTCTCGATGTCCCGCCGACCTGGGGGGGCGGGCACCTTACACGTGAGGGAATCAAGCCCGCCCAGAGCTGACCCTGCCTCGGCTTCCTTTTCTGCAAAAACGGGACAACAATGTCACCTGTGGGGCCAGGCGGCGTTGTAGACAGAGCTAGGGAACACTCGGGCTGCTCGTTATGCTCTCGGCGCCCTGAGAAGGTGAATGAACTCCCGGGAGAAGGGGCGGGACCCCGGAAGGTGGCGATTGTCAGAGAGAACAAATATAAAGGGCCCCGGCCACACCTGTGACAGCTCTACTCACCAGCAAATCTGAGCAATGCAAATCAAGCAGCCGGGGGCACAGGTGTGTGTGCATGAGCGTGTGGGGCGGTGACATCAAGCTCACCCCCCAGGAAGCCCCCCAGGAGCCCCCAGCTCAGTGACTTAGCTTTGCCACCTCCTGCAAGCAGAGAGGTGCAGATGAGAGAGCTCCGGTTCCCCGGGCTGGCGAAGAGTTTGCAAAGGAACCTTGGGGCCAGGTGTGGGCCAGGTGTGCGGCCAGATGGGCAGATGGGCAGCTCCTGAGGTCAAGGGCCTCAGAAGGGCAGTGCTCCCTGACCCGGGGCACTCCTCTGTCTCCATTGTAAGAGATATTTTCTGGGATGATCGTGGGGTCACGGGACAGGCTCTGGGCTGCGGGACACATATCTAGTGACAAACAAGGTTTGTGATCCACCAAGAAGGAAAAGTGGGACGTGAGCCGCGTGCCCAGCGCAGTTCGGTTTTGTGAACTGTATTTTCTGCGTGGGAAGCGAGCCGGCTGGAAGGCTCCCCGGGACGCTGGGTTTTATTTTTGCATTTTCGCGTTTGAGTTCCTAATTTTTTATGAATCGGTCCTTAAATACATCGCCGTTGGGGACTGAGACCTGGGCCCCAGGCTAAAGCTGCCAACCGTGGTTTAGGGAAATCGCCCAGCCGCTCCCGCCTGGGTTATTCCATCTGTGAGAGGAGGAAGCGCCGCCGTCACACCGGCGCCCAGCGCGGGACTAGCGCTTACCCTTCCTGCGCCGCCGCGCTGTCCCTCTCCGCGGCCTGGCTCCGGCGGCCCCTCGCGCCCCTGGCTCCCGGGTCCGGCCTCCGCTGCAGCATCCTGCGGCCCTCCTCCCGCAGCACGGTCAGCAGCAGCCCCCGCTGGTTCCAGGGCACGTAGGCCTTGGCGACCAGCAGAGCC